GCGCCCCGGAGCTGGCTGCCCGGCGCCCGCCGCGGCCCTCACCCCATCCCTCTACCCGCGGTCTGCCTCCGCGGCGCGCACGCCCGCCGGCTCCCCGGCTCTCTCGTCCTGCCCTCGCCCCGCTCGCTCTCCCTTTCTGCTCTCCCCTCCACTTTCGCGCTGCCTCCCGCCTGCTCCCTCTCCCGCTCTCTCCTGGCTGCGCTTCGCTTCCCTCTCTCCCACTGCTGTTCTCTCCGTCTGTCTCTCCCACCCCCAATTTTCTCCTCCCCTCCGGTTCCTCCCCCTCCTCTTCTCTCCCTCTCTGGAATCGGGCTGCTTCTATTACAGAAATCCCCGCTGATGCGCACACGCGCTCTCACACACTGAGAGAACCGGCCCTGAAGGCTCCGGTGCAGGGTGATTGGCTCCTTGTAGCTCCCCCGCCCCTCCAGCCCTCCCCTCTGTGTGTCCAAGACAGGCTGAGTCAAGGAAGTCTGTCTGAGAAAAGGGACGGATGCCTGGGCACCTTCACGCCTCAGTGCCATCTGTCCCAGCCTGAGCACCAGCCCCGCCAGACCTTGACATGGAGGTCCTACCCGCCTGTGCCCGCCGGAGCTGCCCAGGGCTGATGTGCTCCTCCCTCTCCAGGCTGAGCTGGGGGCACTCAGGGAGGCTCCTTTGGCTCCACATTTCTCCATCCTGCATGACCAAGGGTCTGGCTCCAGGGCACCTGCGATGCTCCTGGGGGTGCTCCGTCTGCCAGGTCCTCTTCCCCTCACCTTTCAGCCACAGCTTCTCAAGTCCGCTGGGGGCATGCTGCAACTCACTGTGACATCCTCTGGGCATCCCCCTCCGCCAGGAGAGGACTTTGTCTGACCACGAGCCCTCACAGTTGGACCAGCCTGTCTGTCCACAGTCAGCCTCAGCAGAGCCGTGGTGGGGCTCAGCATTCCTGGCCTGAGTTCCAGCTGCTGCCATCAGTCAGCCACACACACCATCTGCCCTGGGTCTGGTGAGACAGCAAGTTCCAGTTTATGAAGGACCTGGATGACATAATGTGCCGAAGCTCATTAGAGAAAGGGGAAGATGGTGGGTGGCCTGGCTTGGTGGCAGCCTCAGGGACTCTGGGCATGCAAGGTGTAAGCCTAGCCTCAGGAAAGTGTGCAGAGACGGTGGCCCTTCTGTCCTTTTACCAAGACCCTGTGGGGAAGGTGTGTGGATCAGAGCTTCCCTCCCCCACCCTGAGAGCCTGATTAAACATTTACCAGCACACCACTGCTGTCCCAAGACCCTGCACAAGTCACTGAACCTTGTTGAGCCTCGGTTTCCTTCTTTACCTTTCAGAGCTCTGATAAACAGTAACTACGATGGTGTGTGCAGAGCTTTGCCTCCCAGGGGAAGAAACGGAGCCGAACGTCAGCCATCTCCGCATTGCTTGGCCCCCTCACTCGGCCCACAGAATTCAGGGTTGGATACGTGTCTTTCATTAGATTCTTGGTGTGTGACATCAGAGTGAGATGTTCATCTGTGCGTCTCCCCTGCTCCCAAAGACTGTCCCCACACACAGCCCCTGGCATGAGATAGGTGTCCGCGCACTGCTGTAGAGTAAACGAATCAAGGAATACGTTTCTGGGGACACCATTGGGTCCACGGTTCTCACACTTTGATGTTTCTCAGACTCACCTGATAAACTTGGGGTACTGGTTAAAGATTGAGATTCCTGGGTCATACTTGGGGTTTCCAAATCAGCAGGTCGGGGGCTCTGCATTGTCAGTGGGCTCCTTAGGTCACTCCAATGAGGGTGAACTATGAGGATGCCTGAGGAGAACGCTCAATGAAAAGTGGGCCAGTGGACCGGCTAGATGTCTGCTCAGCCCCTGGGCACATCCTCCAACAACAGCCTGATGTTCTGGCCTGGAGGGACATGCTGAAGGGTCACCAGTGTGTGTAGGAAGCACAACGTCAAGTGCTGAGACCCTCATAGCGCTTCGGCATTTACAAAACACATCCAAACGTTATCACACTGTATTTAATCCCTGCAACAATGACAAGAAAAGGACACTGAAGCTCAAAGAGCATGCATGGGCGAGTTGGTAAGGGAGGAAGCAGGTATCGATAGCTCCCTAGATTGGCCCTTTCTGCACGCTACAAAGGGCTTCCATCACCTTCGCCAGCAGGGGTTCTTGGTCGGGAACTTGAAAGTATCTCAACTTCGCAACATTAAAATGATGTCAGTGACCATGTAACCAGGTCTAAGAGCAATAAGCTAGTGAATGTGCACACACACACACACACACACACATGCACACACATCATTTTGAAGATCATTTGCCTTCTGAATTCGTAAAGGCAACACTGAAAGGTTAAAATGCCAGAAAGACACTCAGAATATTTTAACTCAGTTTCCTAAAGAACATAATTCATTTTCTTCTGGTTGTGAACAATACTTCCTACTCCTAGTGGGGCTGAAGGAGGACTGGTCTCCCTGGTGACCAAGTCCCCAGCCCCCGTGGCTTCAGCCAAGCTGGGCCTCACTGGATGTAGGTCCTGACAGAGCCCCAGACATCAGCAGGAAGGTCATAGTCACCAAAGAAGGGAGATGCCTGTTCCTGTCCAGGCCTGGATGCTGGGTCCCCACTGCCTCTTGTGAGTGAGCTCAAGCAGCTGGTACATCTGACTGAGGGACATGGGCTGTCAGTGCTTGGAGCCTGTCCTCAGGGGGCCACACTGTGGCCAGATCTGTATGTCTGCATACTTCTCTGAGCTGGAGAGAAGTGATGGGATGTTCATGACAGCGTTAACATGAGTCATTAAATACTGTAACTGGGCCCCATGGACATGCTCAAAAACAGAAGTGAGTCTCACCCCTTCAGATTGTTGAATATAGTTCTACGTGGAGGCAGGCACATGCACCCATGGTTGGGAATCATTCCTGCAACCCTCCAGCATAAGTATCAGGAGTCTACCTGACAAGTGCAGGAGCCAAGACCCAGAAAGACCCACAATGTGTTCAAGGTCACTCCAGGTGGGCATCAATAGATAGGGCAGAATGAATTAAGATGGCCGAATCAGGATTGGAATCCTTATCTATTGGACGTTAAAACCCATGTTCTTTCCAATTGTGACACTTTATTTATCACACACAATTTGTCACATGTGAAAAAAATTTTTTTAAAAATGTGTCACATGTATGCTTGAATACACACACACACACATACCACATATACTCACAATCAGATGTGGTCCTTTCCATGGCTATCTTTAAAAAGAGGTGAAAGATTTATATAAGCTGAACAGAAACTGGAATGTCACCACCACTCTGAGAGAGGTCTCACTGAAGTCTATGGCCACAGAGAGCACTTCCCTTTAGGGAGTCAGAGGATTCTGGATTTTTGCAAGTGGAGGAGGGCCTAGGAGCTGGGGGGAGAGAGTTAGTTAAGCAAATGCCTAGAGGCCACTCTGGTTCATATTTGTGGTTCTGAAGAGAAGATGAGTCTATAGAGTGGATGGAAAGAAAGGTGGTGGCAAATCCTGGATGTGAGCCCAATGCCAGGCTGAGGACAGAAAGGTCAGTCCCTTTCAGGTGATGACCTTCAGGACCTGGAGCATCCAGCCTTCCTGGGGATACATCCCTGCCAGCTCTCCACCTGAGCCCACCAGCAGGTCTCCATCTTCAAAGCACTTACACACCTACTAATTCATGTGACCCTGTAGAACCCTGGGGATTCTAGGAGTGACACAGAGACATTCTTGTTGCACAGATAAGGAAATAAATCCTAGAGCTAACGTTCCTTGCCTAGGAACATGTGGCTGGTAAGTGGAAGACCAGGGCCTGGAACCCAGGATCCTGATTCACTATCCAGAGCCCTCTCTGTTGCTGGCTTCTGCCCACTCCTGGAGTGGTACCTCTGTGGTGGTACCTCTCCAGGCAGGCTGTTTATGCATACTCCCTGGCCCAGCTGTCAAGCTGAGTAAGCAGAAGCAACTGAACAGAGTTTTCCAACAGAACCATCAGGCCTCTGGCTTACTTGCCTATTAGCAGGGAGGAGAGGAATTGGCTGTCTGGACAGGGTCTTTGCCACTCCTGAGTCTCCATGGCTGTCCCAGGCCCCACAGACCAGGCATAGAAGGAAGCGGGCTCAGCAGAAAGAAGGAAGCCTACTGTCTGGCAGTCTTAGCTGATGATCTCCTGGGGGAGATGAGGTATCTCTGTCTGATGGGACTCATGATGCTAAGAACATTTATCAAAGGTTTGTGATGATCCAGACATTCTGCCTATATAATCTCATTTGATCTTCACAGCAACTCTATATGAGAGAAGTTATAGTTACCACCATTATACAGATGAGGAAACTGAGGTTTAAAAATTTAATCAGTGTACCCAGGGTGTCAGTTAAGGAGGGAAGGGATGTGGACCCTATTCATGTAATCATTGAGACTCTGTTCTGCTGCCCAGATTTGGTCTCTTCTGATGATATTCATCAACCATCACTCCCATCCTGCCCTCCTCTGCCTTCCTTCCCAAGCTGGATCTTTGGGGTGAGTATCAGCTTGGTGGCGTAAGAAGTCTCTGTGTGACACATGTAAGCTTGAGAGTTCCTTGTGGGTCAGGCCTTCTGCTGAGCACTTTACATTCATTTCCCAACTTAGAGCTCATAGGATAGGAATCGCCATCCTACTTGTGGGTGAGATGACAGGGTCTTGCAGCTATGCAGCTTGCCCAAGGTCTCCAGATAACTGTGGTAAGTCTGAGATTGCAATGCTGATCCCGTCTGAGATTGCAGTGCTGATCCCTTCCCTGCCCCCCCAGACCAGGGCTCTGCCACCTACACTGCAGTTGCCACCACAGCTGGG